TCCAAATTTTTAATAATCATTATATATGTAATATTTTAACATACATACAGTATATGATGACTACATATTTTGCATGTTTAGACTCAAACACTATTTATTTGTATTATGAATGTCCAGTCTTCCCTTGCAGCTATTTTGAACTACATATTAAATTTATGTTAATTATGGTCACCCCACTATGCCCTAGAACACCAGAACCCGTTCATTCCTTCCTTTCCCCAGGCCTTGCCTCATGCAGCCACTATTCTTTCTGTACATGTCTGAGATCAACTTCTAAATTCTACATATGAGAACGTGATGTATCTGCCTAAATTGTCTCGTTTAGCATGATGTTTTGCAAACTCACTCATGTGACTCTAAACGACAGAATCTCATTCTCTTTCATGCTATGTGTCTGTCACATTTTCCTTATTCATTTACCCCGATGTCCTTTCCATTTGGGTGGCCAATTGTCCTACAGCTATTGCTTCAAAATAGGACTCTTTTATGTCTCTTGGTTGTTGTTTTATTTTGTTTCCTTATTCTAACTCATTGCCAAATTTGGGGGTTTTCTCTTAAAAATGCTGTCATACTTTCACCAGTTCTTCATCAAACCTTCCTCATCTCTGCCCTAACTAACAGTCACACCATGCAAAACCAACAGCTAACGGCATCTGCACCTATCTTCCCAGGCACTCTACCTAGCCAGGCAACACCGGAGAGAGGAAGCTTTCAGACATGGAGCTGCATAAGAGCCCAGCATAAAATCCCAGCGTACATGCCAGGACAAAGGGCTGTTCCTAACTTCTCTAATCTGTCCCCACCTAGTTGATACCCCAGGTTCTTAAACTCTTGAGACTTTATATTGGGGTCACATAACTGGATGTGGGGGTTGCAAACAAAACTGGCAACAGTAAAAAGATTTTGAAGTGCATCGATCCAAAACTACTTTGGAAATCAAATGTATGTTGAGCCTGGGGGAGGAGGGTTCCTGGCAGATTGGGGACCCATGCTCCTCTGTACTTGCAATTGCAGCCTTGGTTCAGAACACACAACATGCACAATTTGAGTTGAACATGTCACACCTCACAATGCCAAAGAACACTGCCTGAAACATAAGTCAGATTGGAGACTATTGTATGTGATGAGCTGCAATGTAAAATAGCCCTAACACATTTCTTCCATTTTATATTATATATTTATCTCAGGTAACCATTTCAATGTTGGCAGCTACATAATCAAAATATCGTTCAACTCTGAAAAATACTGAGGTTGCTCTCTGCCCTTCGAGGGTGGCATCAAATAGACAACAAAGTTTCAACTCCTTATGTAAAAATAAAAAGCAAAAGTAGGCACAATGGGTGCACAATTTTAATCCCAGCACTCAGGAGACAAGGCAGGGGGATTTCTGTGAGTTTGAGGCCAGCCTGGTCTACAGTGGGAGTTCCAGGCCAGCTACATAGGCCACATAGTAAGACCCTGTCTGCAAAACAAACGCAAAACCCCACAAACTCCAAGCACGCCTATCTCACTAGTATGCAAATCTGATTTCATCTTTAATAAATGCTAAGAATAAATGGAAATTATCTTAAAATAAGCGTTTTGTGTGTATGTCTGTTTTATAGACATATATACCTGGGTGACCACGTGGCAGTTTCCTGGGAGAAGGGCTTGGGAGTGGAAGAAGCTTAAGGTTCCCCGTCCCCCCAGCAAATCAAAGGCCTTTCTCATCCTCTCCTCCGGGCTCCTGGTGCCTTTGTGTGCTCTGCCGCATCAGGCAATCAATATACAGGTGACACAATTGCGGCTCACCTCCCAAACAACACTGACATCTCTGGAACTCATGGCGCTCTGAATGACAGGCCACTCAAATGCTGACGGAATTCGAGGAGATCCCAGTTTTCTGCCTATTGCATGCTGACTCCGTTTGGAAGCTTGAAGTCCACGTCCTCACCTGAGGAAACATTCCCAGGAAAGGGAGAATCTCAAGGGAAAGCTTGGTCCCCAAGCCAGACTCCCCAGCGTGAGAGCTGCTTGCCCCTGAACCCACCACGCTGAGCCTGCAGGGCAGGTTTTAGGGCACGTGTGGTTGGGTCTGCAGTCGTGAGGCCCTCCAAATCCTCAAGAGTATCCGACGGCAGCACTTCCCCACCGCAAAACCACGTTAAAAAAAAAAAAAAAAAAAGAAAGAAAGAAAGAAAGAAAAGAAAAAGAAAATGTTTCAACTGAAGAAGCAAAGTTTGATCTCGTCCGTGTGGAGCTCTGAGAACAATAGCAGCCCTCCGCGGCAGCGTGACTTCAAAAGGCCGCTGAGGGGCCCGCTCAGAAAATGCTTCGTTGTAATGACTGGGACAATTCGCAGGCATCTCCCGAGGCCCGGTGTCCATTAGCACAGGCAAATCCATCCCCCTTTCTTCCCAGATCCTTTCCCAACCAGGCAGATTCAGGCAATAGGAAAGTTGAGCCTTGGGAAGGCATAAAGCCAGACCGACCTGGAAAAAACCCGAAAGCTAGAAAAACCCAGCGAGATAAGAATGTGTTGAGATGACCCCGTTGTTGTACCGAATTTTTTTTTTTTCTCCTTAATTTGAAAGGGGGAAGAAAAAGAACATAAAGTTGGGTGTGGAGGGAGGTGGGGGATATCAGGGGGGGGAAATGTGGGAGAAGTAAAAGCATCATCAAAATACGTTTTATGAAAATTCTCTTTCAATAAAGTAGGGGAAAATATAGGGAGGGGTATCTGGTGGGTTTCCGCTGAAGTTGGCTGGAAGTAAACGCTCCGGGAAAGTATCGGGTCAGGCCGGACACAGCCACACCCCGAGTTGTTGAGGCAAGGCGGGAGTAGGCCCGCCCCTTCGCGTGTGCGCTGGAGAGGGTTCATCATCCCGCCCCTGCCCGCCCGCCGCCCGCCCGCGGAGGCCCGGAGCTGCAAACTTCCCAGGCCCGGACCCCTGCTGCTCCGGGAGCGGTTCGGATTACCGCTCGGCCCCGCCGGCCGGCCGCCCGGAGAGACCGTAGTCCACCTCCCCGCCCCCCGCCGCGGTGAAAGTTTGCCCCCACCTCGCCGCTCCCCCCCCCCCCCCGCGCGCGAGCGCGAGGACCGCGTAGGAGTTCCCGGGTCCGCGCAGCACAAACACGCTTGTCAACAAAGGGAGGCCCATTAAACCTTCCCTCCAGTGAACTCGCCCCCGCGGGGTCCTCTTTGAACTGACCCCCGCCCCGCGGCCCCCGAGCCGTTTGGGGCGCGCTGGCCCTCCCGGGTTCGCTCCCTCCCTCCCGGCTGCGCACTTTTGCTGCGCGCCGGGTCTTTGAAGTCTCCTTACATTATGGCGCAGCAGCCACGCGCTCTTGCCCCGCGCGGGGGGGGGGGGGAGGGGGGGCTTTGTGTAACGGAACTGACATTTGGCCTTGATACCTGTATCTCTTGGTGATTGCAACAAATTTCTAAAATAAGTGTTGTGCTTTGATCTCCCTTGCGCTGCATTTTTAATGGACGCTCAAAACACTACTTCATTAGGAAGATTTTTTTTTTATTTCCTTCTTTCTTTCTGGGGCTCCATGCACAGGGAGGGGAGCTAGAACGCAGTTCTTCGAAGTCCCTCTCCAAACTCTCGGCTGGGCCTGGGAGGGCTGGAACTGTTTTCAAGAAATTCGGGGGGTGAGACGACTGCGGCGCTCCTAGCACAGCCCTGGTAGGCTCTGCACGCTTTTGAACCCACAATCACTCTACAGAGGCGGCACATTTTACAGATCTGCAAGCAGAGGCATACTTCCCAGGGTTCTCAGCCGCACGGCGGGAGGTGGGGGTTGGGGTGTGGGGGTGTTGAGACCTGGCTTCAAAGTTGGAGCGTCTCAACAGCCCAGCTTGGCGCCGGTGGCGGCTTAATTGCCCAAAGAGACCGTTTGGGCGGAAAAAGTTAAACTCCTGCATCTATGGAGATGTAAGCTGACTCTTCTGGCTAACAGGTTTGGCCAAAGAGGACGCCTCCAGCTTGCTCTTCCGCAGGACGGGTTGGGAAAGGCTCAAAAAGGGAGAGAAACCAGAGCGACTTCCAAGTTGCCCGTGGCTGAGCTCCCCGGCCTCAGACGCGCGCACGGTGAGAAACGTCTCCTTCTGGTCCCAGGTTTCTCCGGGGCTGGGTCCTTGCAACGGGACATGAGAAGGAGCAGGTCTGCCGGGTCTTGGAGCTAACCACTGAGTCATCTCCCATCCCGCTTCCGCAGCACCCCAAACTGGTGTTCAGGAAGACTGAGGTCGCGTGGGTTGAGCCGTAGGGTGGTTGTTCACTGGTCCACGGTGACACCTCGTTGGAAGCGGGGGGGGGGGAGGAGATATCAGGACGGGGTGTGTGAGGCCTGCTAGCCATCTCCATTTCGAAGGCACGTCCGGAGCGAGGGGGAATGTGGGCTTCCTTAGTGGCATAGTGTCAGGCTTGCGAAGGACACGGATAGACGTAGTGCAGAGCCCGAAGCCGGAGGAGTTCCGCTAACCTCTGGCCACGGTGTCCTGGAACATCAGTCCAGATCCCTGGACGGTGCGTAAACCCCAGGCGCGAGCTCAGCTGGTCCGGGGCTTCCAGAGAGGATGGTGGCCTCGGAGACCGAAGAGCCGGGGAGCAAAGAGGCCGGAGAAGGATCAGGCCAAGTCAACCGCGGGCGGGCCACTGAGCAGTCAGCTGAGCTACCGCTGCCGGGTTGCTGACTGGACTCCGGGGCCCCCCAAGCGGTGGAGGCCCCGCGTCACCCCGACAGCCTCTAGCCTGTCACTTTCGGCTCCCGGAACTACTAGGGAGGGTCCGGGGCGGAGGGCGGGCAGAAGGCCGACTGACCCCGCTGGACACATCCTGCAGAGGACTTCATGCCTGCGACAAAGCCCTCCGGTGGATGACAGGAACTAGAGTTAGCTTTGACTTTTCTCTCCTCAGCGGGGACCTCCTCCCAGTGATTTCATACGCCACGGGGTTTGGGTGGGTGAGGTGGGGTCGGGGGAAAGGGGACTGCAGAGAGGCTCCCAAGCCTGACCAGCTTAGTGACATCGCGCGCTTGATGGTACTAAGAGAGGTCACAAGCATCGCTGGCAAGTCTCGGTGGAGCCCAACCAGTGGGACGCTTGCCCGGTCCTGCTCGACACACAGAACTGCTTGTCTGGAAAGTGCAGTTCAGTAAACACACACACACACACACACACACACACACACACACACACGCATCAAACTTTAGAAAGGAAAAAAGCCCACATGTGGAGAGAGAGAGAGAGTTGTGGGAGGAAGCAGTAGGCGCGGTGCTGGCTTTTCTTAGATTCACTCTGCAAAAGTTGTAGCCCGAGGAAAACTTCCAGGTCACCGTTGGGAGCCTCACGAGCGCTCTGTGGTTTGTCAAGCGGGCGGGCCTGGAGCGTGTGCGCCACCCACCGCCGCCCCCGGAGGCCGCCCAGTCCCGCCCCAGGGTCAGGGCGCTGCCGGCGGGCGGGAGGGGGTGGGACAGGCGGGAGACCGGGTTCGGTCAGTCCCACGCCCTGCCTCGGGAGTTCGCTCTGGTCCGCGACGTGAGCGTGGGGAGCGAGTCTCGGGAAGTTACCCTCATCCCGTCCTCGAAGTACCTTCAGCTCGAAAGCTGAAGGCAGATTTTTCCTAGAGATAACAAAGACACTTTGTCACTTTGCGCGCTGCCTCGGTGCAAATCTTTAATTGCAAGTGGGGGTGGGGGATCGAGTGTCCCGAGCAACCCAAGCCCGAGTCTCCAGGCGGCAAGGCCCCCTTTGATCAGGAAAATCCAATTATTTGTGTATATACATTTCCCACATAGTGATTACTTCATTAATTGTCCCGCCTTTATCTCCTCCCTTCCCATCCCCCCTAATAATCAGTTCTTTTATCCAGACCAACAAACACACCATAGGAGCTTTGTGGATTCAAAGGATTTGCTTTCGCTTCTGAAAGAGCCGCTATTCTTTGATGATTGGGTAGCGGCAAACTTCAAAGCCATAAATCTTCCCTCTGACTGGCTGGCGGCCCAGCAAAGCCCTTATCAAATTCTTGGAGGTGATCCTGAAGCGCTCAGACCGCGCGCGGGGCGAGCGAGCCGGGCGCGGGCGGGGACGGCTCGAAGGCACGCTGGGCGGCCGCTCGTCCTCGCCCGCGGGTGTCCATGCCTCGGCGGCCGCGTCCCGCTCCACGGCCAGCGGCCTCCACGCAGTAGCCATGGCCGCCGTGGCGGTCCTCCGGAACGACTCTCTGCAGGCCTTCCTCCAGGTCAGGCAGGACCAGCGCGGAGCGGGCGGGAGCAGGTGGAAACGGCGTGGGGTGTTGGGAGGGAGTCTGCGCGGGTACTCTGAGCACCCCAAAATCTCCAAAAGGGACGCGGACCTAGGCGCGCCCACGCCAACTTGACACCTAACCTGTGTGTGTGTGTGCGTGTGTGTGTGTGTGTGTGTGTGTGTGTGTGTGTGGCCTTTGGGGAGGAACGCACGGATTTGGGGGTAGGTGGATGTCAGGGAGGCAGAAAACTCAGTTCACCTTGCTGGGCCCTCCTGCTGAGGTTAGCCTAGGCCAGGACGCACCAAGAAGGAACGCGGTGGCTACTAGGAAAAGAGCTTGTGAAATGCTAGCGCGGACGACCCCACAGCCCGGCTGTGGGTGTTTCCAGGCCCTTCCTGACCGGTCCCGTGTCTCTGCCTCCTCCTTCGCGCCTCCCTCGAAGGCTGGATGGCATCTCTTTGAACGAAGTAGTTTAGCAGGGAGCCACCGCGCACCGGGGGTTCAGGTAGCTCAGCTCGGGCGCTGAAAGTTTCCCCGGGACCTCTGGGTGCGCGCGTGGGGTGCTGTAAGGTCTGGGGGAATGGGGAGGGACGGCCCGGCGGAGGAGGGGCGGGGGTATAAGAGTGGGGGTGGCGGGCCTGCCCGGAGTCGCCGCCTGGAACGCTAACCTTTTGTCTCTTCCGCCCTCCCTCGCCGCCGCCCATGCAGGACCGCACCCCCTGCGCCTCCCCGGACCTGGGCAAGCACTCGCCCCTGGCGCTGCTGGCCGCCACCTGTAGCCGGATCGGCCAGCCCGGCGCGGCGGCGGCGGCGGCGGCAGCCCCCGACTTCCTGCAGGTGCCCTACGACCCCGCGCTGGGCTCACCCTCCAGGCTCTTCCACCCGTGGACCGCCGACATGCCCGCGCACTCGCCAGGCCCCCTGCCGCCCCCGCACCCCAGCCTGGGGCTGACGCCGCAGAAGACGCACCTGCAGCCGACCTTCGGGGCGGCCCACGAGCTCCCGCTCACGCCCCCCGCGGACCCGTCCTACCCCTACGAGTTCTCGCCCGTCAAGATGCTGCCCTCCAGCATGGCGACCCTGCCCGCCAGCTGCGCGCCCGCCTACGTGCCCTACGCCGCGCAGGCCGCGCTGCCCCCGGGCTACTCCAACCTGCTGCCCCCGCCGCCGCCTCCGCCGCCGCCCCCCACCTGCCGACAGCTGTCCCCCGCCCCGGCCCCCGATGACCTCCCCTGGTGGAGCATCCCGCAGTCGGGCGCGGGGCCCGGGGGCTCCGGGGTAGCAGGGACCAGCCTCTCCAGCGCCTGCGCCGGGGCCCCCCACGCCCCCCGCTTCCCAGCCTCGGCCGCCGCCGCCGCCGCGGCCGCCGCCGCCCTGCAACGGGGCCTGGTGTTGGGCCCGTCGGACTTCGCCCAGTACCAGAGCCAGATCGCCGCGCTGCTGCAGACCAAGGCCCCCCTGGCGGCCACGGCCAGGAGGTGCCGCCGCTGCCGCTGCCCCAACTGCCAGGCGGCTGGCGGCGCCCCCGAGGCGGAGCCGGGCAAGAAGAAGCAACACGTGTGTCACGTGCCGGGCTGCGGCAAGGTCTACGGCAAGACGTCGCACCTGAAGGCGCACCTGCGCTGGCACACGGGCGAGAGGCCCTTCGTGTGCAGCTGGCTCTTCTGCGGCAAGAGCTTCACGCGCTCCGACGAGCTGCAGCGGCACCTGCGGACTCACACCGGCGAGAAGCGCTTCGCCTGCCCCGAGTGCGGCAAGCGCTTCATGCGCAGCGACCACCTCGCCAAGCACGTGAAGACGCACCAAAACAAGAAGCTCAAGGTCGCGGAGGCCGGGGTGAAGCGGGAGAACCCGCGGGACCTCTGAGCGCGCCGCCCGGGGCATCCTTCTCAGCACCTTCGCTGGCAGGCCCGGGAACTTGGCCGTCGAGGCGGCTGGCAGGGAGGAAACTTTAAAAAGGAACTTTTTATCGTCCTCCTCCCGAGGGGAGGCCCTGCAGCAGAGCCCTAGAGCCGAGGGCAGGGCAGGGCTGGGCTGGGACCCGGGTCCTGGTTGAGAACCCTGAGTTACCCCAGGACGGTTCCAGAGTCTGAGCCATCAGCCATCGCCCGTCCAGGAGAGCTACAGTCGGGTTTCTACCCCCGGGGCTGTCCTCGCTTGTAGGAGTCGCTGCTGCAGGAAAACTTCGGGAGATTTAAAACAGGGCTTGAGTTTTCCCCGCTAGGTCCGGTTCGGACTCTGTACAGGTTATTTAATAATAGCTTTGTTAAAGAGTAATATTATAATTATAACATTAATAAATGTTTCTGTTGTTCCCAGCTCCACACAGAGCTACAGCATGGTATGTTTCTGTAAAGCGGTCAGCAGTTGCAGCGTGAAAATAAACACGGTCATTCCAGGGCCTCCTGGGGAAGACCCCCGCAGAGCTGGTCTCTGATCTTTTCTTCTTCCTGGAGTCCTCGCTGAGAGGTCAGGTTTCACCAGGGATCTGATGGTTCCTGTTGTGCTGCCTGTGTCACAGGCGGCTCTGGTTTCTAAAGTTTGGGGCAGGCGTGTACTGGACGCCTGAGCAGGCGAAGGGTCGTCAGGGTTGTGGTAAAGAGCCTCTGGCAAGGAAGGTTTGCCATTCCCAGTTCAGGTTCTGTAGGAGTCAAGGCGTTGATGCGTTGTTTGCTTCGTGAGTTTGATAATCTGCTGCAGAAAGAAGGAGGTGAATTCCCTGCTGTTTGACAATTGCTGATACTCTGGGGACCCGTCGAAGGAGCTAACTTTTCTCAGGGCCTTCTCCCTGGTGAGATTTTTTTTTTTTTTTTTATTGTTAAATGGAGAAATTGGCGGCTCTTGTGTGGATTGGTCTGTGCCAGAATAACACTAAAAAAGTAACTCACTCCTGCCGCGTTCCAGCCTGGTTTACAAGTCCGATTTCACACAGATAAACTAGAAAGGGATCCAGGTGGGCCAGGTAGGGTGGATTTTCTTTTTAATCATCTGGCTAGACAGATTTTCTCAGGGAAGAAGCACAGATGCTTGCTCAGAGCCTAGAAATGTAGGAATGGCGCTTTTTATTATCTAGGTGTCTCACCGTTCTCTGACTTTTTTAAAGTTTCAAGCCCTCCCCCACCCTTTTTAGGTGTCTCAACGGATTTGTATTTTTGTAAGATTTGAATTTTCAAACCCAAAACTTAAACAAGCAATTAAACTCTTTCATTTAGAATCAGCGAAACTCCGAAATGGGATTTAAACTCTGTTACTATTAAGCGAAGTCAATGTCAAAATGCAGCGAGTGATCTTTTCGTGATAGAGTTGTGTATAGGTGTTTATATTTCACAGCCTACCAGCTTGCCAACTTTCAATTTTTGCTTGAAATCAAACTAAAGGGAAAAAATTTCAAACGCTATTGTGGGTTGTCCTTTAAAGTTACATAACTAAAACACGAACATCGGCATAACTGAAATAAGGATAACTTTTTATAACAGTAGGAAATAGTTTTATCGTGTAATGCGAGACAAGACAGCAAACCTATGTAGCGACTTGCCCTCTTTAGACCTTTTGAACTATTTAATAAGCTTGATTGCTAGCCATCCTGGTTCTTAACCTCAGAAGACTGAGCTGAAGGCCCAAGGGTGTGGCTGGTTTGCAAGCAATTGTTACAGCGTTGCTAGACAGAACACAGCCAAACGAGCACCTTTTATTGTAATCAATCAGCAATACCCTCTTGATGTAGACCAAATACATGTTAGATGGATAAGCAGAAAAGTTGCGTGAAGTTTTCCATCACTCCTGAGCCATGGCCTGGGTTCAGCTTCAGACTCAGGGTTTTTTGGCACTTGATGGGGACTTTGGACTCAGGAGATCTGGAGAGGTTATTTCTGTGGGAAGAGTAGCTTTAATGCTTTTTACTCAAAGATTCAAAAATGCCACTTTTCTCTTTTTAAACACACCTGTGATTACTGGCAGGTACAAACCTTTAACATTCAAAGACATGAGGAGAAAATAGACCTTCATGGGGAACAAAAAGCAACCAAACTTTAAACAGGGATCATGAAGATAGTATCTGCAAAACTTTGTAGCTAAGAGAAAAACTAGATCAAATATACAGAATTTACCAAAATAAGGTATGTGTAACTTTAAAAACAGAACAAAGCCATGCGATGGCAAAATTAACTTTCTTGGTACTGTATTTAATTGAGCCTGTAAGATTCAAAGGCAGCCTTTAGCTTAACTGGACACATGATCATTGTTGGATTCTGCATCACTGTAGCTCATTCAATTACTTCAGAAAAAAATTAATGCCATTATTGAAGGAGCCATCCAGAAGCCACAGTGATAATAATATCCAAGTACAGGTAGGCATTCCATGTTTATACTGAAAAAAATAAGCTAATATAATGTAGAAATGCATTCAAGTATACAAGTTGCGGAAATTTGAATTATTAAATGTTTTGTTTTATAAGTCTGCAGCCAGAGTACTGTTTAAGGGCATTAAAAGTTATTTAGGGACACCATTATGCAAAAATAATATGTGTGACTTGGCACAAACTAAAAATATTACTTTATAGCAGAAAATTTAATGGAATTAAAATGAAAAGCTTAGAAGTAAATTATTACTAAATGTGAACTACATGTTATTTTGAATTGGAGTTTGCCAACACCAAAAAGCGAGTTTAATTTGCCAACTTTTATCAAGGTTTTATTTAAGACTTCAGCACACAGTTATTTAAATGGATATGTTAATGATTATCTCATGACACTAGAGTAGATTTTTTTTAAGAAATTGGTTGGGCAGAATGAGAATATATTAGAAAATATATTAAATTCCAAATTGTTGACATTTTAAAGTTTACACTCCAATGGGCCATTTGGGTCAAGAACTTAGAAACAGAAACTGAATTCTGAATTTAATAATATAGTTTCATGCTTTTCTCCAAAGAACACTGAGGAAAATAGCTGATCACTTGTTTTTAATGGATAAATTTGCCAAAGGAAAAAAAACAAACAAACAAACAAAAACAAAACAAGTGTTACTAACATCAATTTCACTCATTTCTAGATTTAGTAGAGCTGAGACTCGGTTTAGTTGAGTGAAATAAGACATGCTGAAGGTCCTTCCAGTAAAACTTACTTCTGGGACACCGATAAAAAGGCAAGTTTTAACCCCATGTTGCTGTGTTCCGTTCTAACACTGTAGGCTTTGTAGTAATCAGTTTAAAGCAGTGTCTTCTTCAGCCTTACTTGGGTTCTCTTAGGAGAATGTGATAGAACGCTATTATAAGACTTCCTCCTCCTGTAAACAAGCACTGGTTTATGTGGGACTCTGGAATTGCCAAGATGTGTTTGCTCACTTCAGCCCACTGCTTTATGCAACAGAGTCAATTGGCAGGTTTTTTTGGTTGAGAAAGAGCTATGATGAGGAGTCAGGTTTAAATTTTGATGTCTGTTAACGACTATAGTTCACTCCTGGCCCCAGTCTTTCCTTCCGTCTTTATGGTAGACAGAGGACTTTTAAAAGGTGAGGCCTGGGACACCTTTGACATGTGGATGCCATGCACCTTGAATCCAGTAAGAAGGAGGGGAAGATTGCCCAGAGGTCGAGGCTGGGATGGGTTACCTAGTGAGTTTGAGGCCATCCCAACTACCGAGCAAGACCATAAGAACAGCAATGTGTGCTACCGTAGTTTGATAAAGTAGGGAAAATAGGTAGATGCATGTTTACGATGAGATGTATTTAGGTTAATATGTCACAGTGACAAGCCACATAATAGGCATAATAGGATTCATGTAACATTCTACATAGGTAATTTAAGTTTTCTCTGGTATTAGTAAGAGTCTACATTTTTTTTTTCATAAAGCTCTTGATGTCAGTTGTTCTCAAATAATCTGGTGTTATTAGATACAGAAGTATTTCAATTTAACTTAGGGACTCTATGCAGTCACCGGTATAGTGTCCGTGACTGCCTGAGTAAGCAATGTTAGTTCAACGAAGATGCAATCCAATAGCTTCAGACTGCTACAGCTTTCTTGTTTGTCTCATTGCTACCATGGCATTTTCATTCTCTTTCTGGACTGTGCACTTCTCTGCCTGTTCCTTAGCCATTCTCTAAAACAATTCTCAATGAGATAGTTGATTTTTAATCCATAATTTGGTCCATGCATGTGGACTTCAGTAGTTTTCTATGTAATAAATACAAAAGTCAAAACGGGAAAATCATATCTAGTTCTTAGTTTGATACAACATGGGAAATCTACAGCTTCCGCCTTCCAGAAAGTTGATTCAGCCCTTTGAAAGCGGAGATTTTAAGTTTGTTTTATAGTAAAGCTACTCACTAGTCACACCTCTTCCATAGAGAGTACACTAGAACTGCTTAAGATCCAATGAGGAGTCTCCATGGCATCTGAGTTATTTAAGTGTGAGGTAAACCCATGCAGTGGTTAAACTAGTTAAACTAGTTTTGATGTGGTCAGCACTATCTGAAGCTCAAATGCAGAGCATACAGCCTTCAGCTCTTATCTCATCCAGTTCCCTAAGCATCGGGCCTGCCTCCTCATTTATGCCTAAGACTGGGAAATGTGTCCTCATTTTGAAAGCATTTGGAAATAGCATCCTAAAAATCTACAGAAGATACTGAGAAGGCTTATTTCTCTTATTCGTGTGAATTTTATTATGTTCTCTGTGTTTTTTTATTCTGTGTCCTGAAGGAGGCAAATGTCTATACATCCATGTCATGAAATTTTTATGTAATGTGTCTCTTTCTTAAAAGTATGCCCACTATTCAACTTAGCTCCCTAGAGTGCAGAACCCAACTGGATCCTAAACTATAATTATTCTAAGCTGTATTTTGTTTGTATTTGCAATACTGGAAATTGAACCCAATATTCAGTTAAGGAATTGCTCTACCACTGATCTGCATTCCCCAGTCCCAGGCTTGAGCATTCAACCGTCTGCCTGGGGTTTTTGGTTTTTATTTTGTTTTGTTTTGGGGGGTGATTGTTTGTTTGTTTGCTTGGTTGGGTTTTTTTAGACAGGGTTTCTCTGTGTATCCTTGTCTGTCCTGGACTCAAGTTGTAGACCAAGCTGGCCTTAAACTCACAGAGATCCACCTGCCTCTGCCTCTGGAGTGCTCTGGGATCACAGGTGTGCCAGCATGCCCAGCTGAAGCCTGGCTGACTTTTCCACTTTCTTTCTTGATGGAGTCCATGCCATCTCTTATACTACTTCATACAGCTGACAAGAAAGCCATTGCAGAAACAAGCTGTGTGAGTCCAGGCTCGAGGTTCAGAGTGACTATGAGGGACGCATGGATAGAGCACCTCTTCCGTCACAGCTCAGACTTACCAAGAGCAAGCCTGTGCATGTCCTGGACTGCCCTTAACTAGAACCTGTGGGGTTGCCTTGGCCCCTTGCCTCTCTCTGAGGCAGATGGAGAA